CCCAAGGACACAACGTCAGGCCCCTGACGGGATTCGAACCCACGACCTTACGGTTGCGAGTCCGAGAGCCTAACCACTAGGCCACCGACGCCACAGTGTCCGTATTTTTCTTCTTTTGAACTGGGGGAAAAAAGGCGAAACTTAACTAAACAAAGAAAACCCACTGAATCGGAGTTTTGTTAACGTTTCCGCTAATTTTTCACAGACGAAAAACTCCTGTCCATCTTTCTCTTTCTTTCCCCTATCTGATACTGTGGCTCGTTTTTATGATATTATGTACTTGAATGATACAACAAATTAAAACTTTATGACCCCCCCCCTCGCCACACAAAGAAACAGAAATACACATGCGGACGTGCAAGAGTTATATAAATGATATGTTTGTTATATTATATATATTATATACATATATTTATATACTTTTTAACTCCCCCTCCCCCCTCCTTTTTTTCCATCTGAGTTCCTCTCTCCTTCGCATCTGGCTCTTTCTACGGCTACCATGGCTCTCTCTAATGTCACTCTTGGCTCTTTCTTACGGCTGCCTTTCAGCCCCGCTCTTGATCTTAGAGCAGGTAAGATCGAACACCTGGCCTTCTTGGCACATAAAAGACTCCTTGGTGGTCCCAAAATCAAAAATAGAAGGCAGCCAACTAGCAGGGAAACTCATAGAAGATGAAAAGTCACACAATGGAAGTAAAATGTGTCATTGAGAATACTGGTGACAAGAATGAGAAACAAAATAAGATCCTAAGTTTAAGAAATGAAACAAACTCAGTTAATAACTGGCGGTGGAACAAAGAATGCCATATTCATCACAATACTAACAGAGGTGCGTTGTTATGTTGATATATCTTTTGTGACATCGCTGGTTTTTCAGCTGTGTATATTTTTTTTCTCGCGAGCTCTTCGACGGACTATATATCTAGTGGTTTTAGATTTTTCCATGTAGTGAAAACATGGAGCTTGGTCAAGAATTAAAAATCTGTTTCATCAATAATTGTCATTGCTGGTTTTTCCTTAACACTCTTTATACATACATGTTACATTATATTAT